CGGCTAGTTTACGAATTTGATTCCTAATGTTGAGGTTAATGATTAGCATAGTCAGCCAATGACCCTAAGCAAGATATCTTTTACATAGGTTCAGACCACTTTACCGAGAATCTCACCTCAGCTTCAACACATATTCAATTTAAACTTATATTATAGATGGGAAAAATTAAGGGATCGTGTCATATTGAGCCAACTTCCTGCACTGTTTACTACAGTGTACATGGTACGACCAAATTGCCAATTCATGTACGCTAGTCACCAACGTAAGTTACGAATTTGATTCCTAATATTGATGTGAGATGCGGTGTGAATGTAATATAATAACAAAAAATGCAATTTATTAATGAAAAATAAATATTTCTGAAGTACATTACAACCCGTTCTGACAGTTTGATGTTCATGATAATTGGTTGGCATAGCTGATCAGCATATACCAAAAAATAAATATATCTTTCTTAAGAAGATTTCATCGTCTCCACACACACACACACACACACTCATATACATACATACACGGTCAATCATCAGCTGCATCTATGACAGGCGTTGATGGAAATCTTAATGTTAGTTCAATGAAACAGAATATTAGTTTATCGTACTTATGTCGAATGCCTCCCATCGCAACCGATAGAACAATCTTATCCAAGCCAGTGCCTACACTACGTACGCGAGCTTCTCCTTTCTTGGTCGTCTATAATATATAATTTTGTGTTCTATTCAAATATGATATTGTAACAGAATTATGGAATTACAACATTGACGAGTGAAAATAAAATAAAAAAACACATCGTGCGTTCGAAAATAAAGGAAGGAAAAAACGTTTGGATGTACAATATAAGATGAGCCTTACCAACAAAGATTGTTCGAGTTGATCATTTGTCTAAAGATAGTGCAAATTAGAGAAGCATGTCTGTCTTTCGATTATTTTTTTCAATTTTTCCTCTTTTCAATAGGCCGATGATTACAAAAAGCACAAAAATTTAAATTAATAACAAAAGAAACCTCATAAATCATGAAACCGTTTCCGGTATCACAATAGCGGATTGTCGTCATTGGCCGTAGTCGTTTGGCTTTCGTTGGTGTGGATGACTGCAATGGATTGTTTTACAGAATTTTACTTTTTCCCTCTCTTTTCACCTTCGATCCTGTTACTTTTAGTCGAATTGTTCGAATATTCTCCAATGCATCAAATACTTCACAACGTATTCGCGAGTTGCAAGCTATATAGATAGGAAGTCGAGTACAACTAACAATCAAGTTTGGTGAGGGTGGGTGAGACATAACAAAACTACCTGGCTAACACGGTGAATAGAGAAACGAGATCAGAGGACAATGTATAGAAGGGACGGAGCTGTTCAGACATCAGTGAAGGCTAAATTGGCATAGAGAGGTATCCGTGACATATACTCAAAACCTTATCAATCAGCTCCCAAGTGTAGACGATCACATTCAATAGGTTAGACGCCAAGTATGTGCAGGTTACGAAGACAAGCATCAGAGTGGCTGACCGGATGTTTTGCTTAAAAAACGAAGGTTAAGGAATTCGGAAACGTTTTCTTGTTGTTTATACACACAACCGTTCTCGAAATGAGATGCGAAAGAGTACAGCTCACGTGTAATAATATTTTCCACGTGAAAGTACACGTGTGTTTGTTTTTCACGTGAAAGTACGCGTGAGTGAATAAAGCAGAAAGTTCATACCACGCAAGCGGTAGTAGCAAAAGGTATGTGAAAAGTAAAAAATAGAAGAAAAAAAAAATTATAAAAACGTACTCGATGTTCCGATGTTGCAAAACGGAAAAGCTTAGCCCCCTGATGCTGTTCTCGTAGTCTGCGAATAATTTCAAAATTCAAATAAAAACACATAGCGAATGGTATAAATATGGTAAAAATATTGCGGAACCAGTACTAAAAAAAATAATTTTAATTGTTTGTTTGAGAAGAGGCAACAGTCAAAATTACTTTGTAAAAGGTTTTATACGGCTCCATTTCACTGAATTCAGCAACAGTTGCAGTCCATGACGTCACGCCTGTGCAGTTGCCATTCGGGATAACCTTATAAGAGAGATTGAGGTAGAGAGAGAGAGAAGGTAAGAGAGAGAGAGAGAGAGTTTGTGAAAATTAAGAAGTAAAAGCTTACTTGAACTTCAAAATACATTGGAGATTTTGCTAAAAATGCAAAAAAAACAGCCATTAATGAAATAATGCAGCGATGTCTTCGTGCGAATTGATTACGCAGTTTGGCGATTGTTACATACCTTAAAAGGAAAAATGTATTTCTCTTAGGTTGCTTTTCAAATCTCTGAAGCTTCTTCCTCTTTCTCATTCTGTCCCTCTCTTCATCCACATCTACATCTCTCTATCTCTTTCTCTTCATTGCTCATCCCTCTCTCTGTCAACGAGAAAAAGAGAGAGAGAGGAGAAGAGAGAGAGAGAAAGAGAGAGCGAAAGCGAAAGTTACAAAGAAAAAACAAAATAAGAGCTATTTGGCTCAAATTATTATTCATTCTTCTCACAATTTTTTCCAATTTTCCAGTGGCTTTACAGAAATTATGTTCCTTTCAAAGCCTCAAGACGACATTTCATTCTCGAGCTGGAGAGGAAGAGCTCATAAAATTGCGACACTAATAGTTTACTCAGAATGATGGAAGGCACTGACGAGTTCAAAAATGGAAATTACTACTCGAAGACGAACGAGTTAAGATAGAACGCACCGTTCAAATGCTGCTGCGACGATGAGAAAAGCAGAAGTACTAATGAATACATGAGACACTGTTATGGTCATCCTCATGTAAGTCCACCAGGCTGAAGCCAGGATATCCGATTCGAAGTAATCCATATAGAGGTTAATAGGAAATAGCAGGATATATGAAGCTGCAACGACAATGTAAATTACAAAATGACGGAAATGAAGTACCTGAGAGAAAAACATCGGCCATGGCCAGGAAAATGAGGTAAAGAACATGCGATGAGCGATGTCTCTTATTCCGAAAAAGGACACAAAAGAGAAAAGTGTTGAAACAGACGGATGTGAAGGCAATCACAGCTCCAACAACACCAACTAAGATTAATCTGAATGGAAGAAACATGATATTGAACTTGAACATAATCTTTCATCCTTCCAGCATATCTCTCTGCGCTCTCGCTCTCAATCATTTGCATATTCTTCTTCTTTTTTCGGGCGAGTTGAAGAAGAGATCAAACCTCTTTGAACTTTCATAAGCTTACCGACTAAGTTCTGGATAGATAATCGAGCAATTCGCATCCCACCAGTCATACTCTTCATCTTCTTCTACCATCAGTGCTGCTTCTACCTCATCCATATTTGGAGACCTTACTGTTTAAACAAAAAGATAGAAAAACAATAATACAAATGAAACTCTCAAAAGAAATAAAGTTATTAGCTCTTCAATGTCATCACAGTTGAGAGGCAAACACAAACGGAAGCAACAACTGGAAGCCTTGGAGAAAGAGGAGAAGCAAAAAAGAAAAAGGCCCAACACCCCACATAATTCTTCGTTAATTCCAAAATTTGTGGTGACAAATCAACATTCAAATACACTTTAAATACCAATTCTGATGGCGTTCAGTTGACAACATATGTGGATTTGACGATGACCTTTAGCACCTTCAGAAGACGTAGAGCAACTTCAATTCAATCTACTCGTTGACATCATGTGGGTGTCAGAAAACGGCTTTCAAAAAACTTTCACATAAACGCTGCATTCAAATCAACGTTCAAACAACTGTTTTGGAAGAGAGAGAGAGAAAGGATAAGGGAAAGTTTAAACTGTGTGTGTTGAGTTCGAAAAAGAGATGAAAACTAAAATTCAAAGATACGCCTGGTTTTCGGAATATGCACTTGCTTTATAAGGCTGAAGGCGGGTCTCAAACGAAACAGAGGGGTCCCGAAAAGATGAGAGTCTCAAGGAGGCGACAAAGAAAGGAGGAGGGAAGCGAGAGAAGAGGAATGGCTGTCCGATAATGGAAAAGAGGACGAATTAAGTTAATAAAATTATAAATACCTTGTAGGGGTATGGGTTTCTGAGTGCACGACGCAGACAAAAAACGACGAGCTCACAAGGCAGAGGCTAGGAAAGTTAATTAAAATGCAAAATCAGTTGAGACTTCGTTTTGTGCTAATACTGTCAAGACCTCAAAAGGGCAATGAAACAGAAAATATTTTCGTGCATTCCATAAGAAGAAATTTGTTTAGCTAAGCCATGAGTAGAGAAAAACAAAAACCCTCATTTGAAACAAAAAAAAAGAGAATTTGCAATGATAGACTTGCCTGAGGGGTGGGGAGGCGGTTGATGAATTCAAAAGTTCATATCAAAAAGCAAACAGTTTGCAGAACTCAATGATCAATCTCCAACATTTTCCAAGAATTGCTCTCAGAAGACGTTCCGGAAGAATCAGACGCTGTCAGTAGACGAGAGCGTCAAAAACAAAAGTTTTCTTACGGCTCAAAGGAGACAAATACAAGGCATGACATCGACCAGCTTCATCTGTGGAAGAGCATGATGAAGACCTGCTTAACAGCATATGACAGAAATAGCCTTTTAAGGACAAAATGCGACAGTTGACGACGTCGTGTTGATGACGTTGTTGTTTCTCCCTTGTGAGGATGTATCAATATGATTATCCCTGGCCACTCAACATGTCAATTTTCATTATGAATCCCGTGACTTTCTCAAACATTCCTTATAAGGTGGGGTCGCCAGCTGAGTCTCATCCGATATTTATCGAAAGCAGCAGCTCATCATTTACAGCCATATATGGAGGATATTTCCAAAAAGTTGGCTTTGCAATTGCCGACAACACTAACTATCCTTATTCACGCTCGAGTCAGTCAACTTCTGGTGGGGAGCGAGTTAAGCAAGCTCATCGTGTCTCTCTCGCGTTCGCTTTCTATCTCTACGTCCCTACTTCAGCCTATAACTTATCTCATTAGAAATAGAGTTCCTTGCATTTAAGGAAAAGTCACAATATGACTTTATGGTTTCATCTCTCTATCAACCCCAATTTTGGCCAAAACCCCGAAAATGGCAATCAAAGCCTAAGCCAATACCATAATGGAATTCACACGACGAGCTTGTTAAGCCAGGAAATATATCTTCAACTGACCTCTCCTCTCTTCTTATTTTTGAACTTTTTAAACGTCGGTCACACGTCTTCATTATGGCCATTGAAAGAACAAAGTACAACTTAATAAAAAAAATCACAGCTCCGTATGCATAGGCTCCTCCTTATCTGGATCATTGCAAGCCATTGGAGTACGGAATTTGAATTGATATTCACACTTAGCAGGCTCGCTGGCTTCGTATAGCTCGTTCTGCTCTCCGCATTCGATGAACACCTAATACAGCAATCTCGTATCAACAAAGCGCTTAAAGACAGCTCACCTGAGTAGATCTTTTAGGTCCATTCCAACATTGAAGACCTTCATCATATTTCTGACCTGTGTATTTTCTAGGGGCTTGTCCATTCCAAGACTTCCAATATCTGGAGAGCAGCGGATAACTGGGAACAGTAAAGAGTAGAACTTACCCAAGATTAGTTTCGCCATGTCCATTCTTATCTTTTTGAATAGTTTTGTCGAAGGGACAGACTTTGTAAATGTATTGAAGATCGTTAAGCTCGAAACAGTGACCCTTTAATGCTACCCAAGCCAAATCGCTTCCGTAATCTTCGTTCAAGAAGGTTTCAGCCTCTCTGGATGACTTATTTATAGAGTTGGAACTATTCCTATATTCACCTTATTTGTGACTCAAGAGTATTAACCTTGATTTCCATGTCAGTAAAGGCTTTACGAGCGGAATCGGCAGCTGAAGAGGAAATGTAATTGACGCCTCATTGGGAAAAAACCTTCGATGGCGTGCTGAGTTTCTTCGTCATGTGGGGGCATAGTGTCATCGTCGTTATCCTCTTCGTCTTGACTCAAGTCTTCGACTTTGTCTTCATCTGAACAGCATGTTTATATCACAAAACTTTGAGGGAAATGACCTGCGACAAGATCATCGGAGGATCTTTCCTTCTTATCGGCCTCATGAGTTTTCTTGGACTGCTTCAGATTATCGAATACAGTAGATGTGAATGTACTGAAGTCAACAGCATCGACGTCACCCAAGAAATGCTAAGAAAACGTTCTTAGAAAGGACATACTCAGATAGTTGATTACCTTAGCTTCTTCTTCGGTTACTTTGCCATCTAAATCAGAGTCTAAGTAAGGCAACTGTTGTAACTCAGCGACAGAAACTCTGCGAAAATCATTTATACAAGTGATCTCATCAAGAAACTCACTGGCTATCTTCGTTCTTATCGAGGTCCACGAACCATCCAAGAGCGGCAGACTTTTTCTTCTCAAACTTCTCAGCTGCGGAATATTTTAATAAAACAAATGCAACGACGGAATTATGTTACCAATCCATTTGTCTCTGTGAGCGTCAGTCAAAGCCTTCTCTCTGTCTTCAGCTTCCTTCTTAATACGTTCGAGCTCTTGTTTTTGTGGCTGGAGTGAATCCTTCTCGGCGCGAAGAGGAATAACACTCTCTTCCTTCTCCTTCTGAACGAGGAAACAGAACTATGAGGAAGTAGAAGAGCATCCCAGTACCTTAAGTTTCTGCGCCTCCAGAGCCTTCTCTTGTCGGATTTTGAATCCATTGCGAGCTACTGTCGCTTTGCGTTCCCTCTCTTCACGAGCGCTTCGTCCGAGTTCATCGCAAATATTTTGGCAACTATTGCTTTGATATTCATCACTTCCATCACAACAATCTTGAAAAATGTAAATATTCAATCCATGACGCAGAAACTTGCAACATACCGCAAATGCCATCATTAACTCGAGAAGAAGGGATGTAGTAACCCTCATGTCCTACATTAGTACAGAAGAAAACAGCTTGTGGGCAAGCAGAAGTTCCTGAAAGCCAAATATGAAGAACTCATTTTCTATTTTTGCAGGAACCTGGTTCATCACTTCCATCTGGGCAATCACAATAATCATCATTGATTTGGTTAGCGGGGATAATTTTAGTTCCATCCAGACATTGGAACTCTTCCTTATTCATATACAATGGCTGGCCTATAAGCTTCTTATCAGGAAAAGATGTTTCAAGAAAAAACTCACGTCTGTAGTCTACTCCTAGAGTTGGACTAACTTTTCCAGCGAACGCTGATGAGCATGCCACTGCCAGTAGAACACACAGGATGCGCATTCTGAAAACACCGAAAGTATGGGAAAGCAGCAAATTTAAACAGGAATTCATAAAATGAGCTCGGATGTGGAATGGAAACTTGAATATCCCATTATAATGCATTTTATGCCCATATATTGTTATATCCTTTGTTGAAATACTGTATGAGACGTGGCTTTAGCTTGGTCACTGTAAGCGCGCTCCATTGCTAATTCGCGGTCGTTCAATGTTTTCACATTGGGGCATTTACCTATGTGGCTTTTTGATACGTGTGCTACGTGCTCTTATTGGCTTCTTCTTTGGAAAGCCTACGTTTCTCTATTTTATTGCTTTTTCTTTTCGATTCGTATAATATCGATATTTTCAGAATGAAATTTCTCAGTCTCACCTTCTTCATAACACTAATAGCTTTAATTGAAATTGTTTCGTGTGGTAGAGATTTTTATAAGATACTGGGCGTTACTCGTAGTGCGAACGCCAACCAAATCAAAAAAGCCTATCGTAAACTAGCTAAAGAATTGCATCCGGATAAGAATCCTGATGATCCTGAAGCCAATGAACGGTTCCAAGATTTATCGGCCGCTTATGAGGTATGTTAATGATTTGTCGTCGTCTTATATGTTTCTGCTAACTGTAGGTATTGTCGGATAAGGAGAAACGAGCTACCTATGATAGACATGGAGAAGAAGGTGTTAGTAAAATGAACGGAGGAGGAGGTGGACATGATCCTTTCTCATCTTTCTTCGGAGATTTCTTCGGAGGTGGAGGAGAACGTGATGAACAGATTCCAAGAGTAAGCACGTGAACTTTGTTTTTGCAACTTTTTGTTCTAAAAATAGGGAGCCGATGTAGTTGTGGATCTATTTGTTAGTATGGAAGAAGTTTACGTAGGACATTTTGTTGAAGTAAAACGAAGGAAAGCCGTTTACAAGCAAACATCCGGTACTCGTCAATGTAACTGCCGGTTTGTTTTACTGTTTCTTATCGTTTCAAGCTTTACTTTCTCAGAACTGAGATGAGAACTGAGCAAATGGGAATGGGTAGATTCCAAATGTATCAGGTACGGAAGCCTAGGTTGTTCGTTTTCATTTCCCTTTTCCCAGGTCAAAGTGTGCGACGAATGTCCCAATGTCAAGCTCGTACAAGAGACAAAGACCTTGGAGGTTTGTTCAACCTTTCGATTTTTAAAGCGTTTTCTGCGTCTAGGTGGAAGTAGAAGTAGGTGCTGACGATGGTCATGAGCAAGTTTTCGTTGGTGAGGGAGAACCCCATATTGAAGGCGAACCAGGAGATCTTAAGTTCCGTATTCAAATACAGAAACACCCAAGGTATGCATTCTATATCAATGATACTTAATTCCACTTCATCTAAGATTCGAAAGACGCGGTGACGATCTGTACACCAACGTCACAATTTCTCTTGAAGACGCACTGAATGGATTTACAATGGAAATTGAGCACTTAGATGGGCACAAAGTGACTGTCGAGCGCGATAAGGTAATCATTTTTGTTGAAAAAGTTTCAATCTTTTGCATTCTTGCAGGTTACATGGCCAGGAGCACGGCTGAGGAAAAAAGATGAGGGTATGCCCTCTTTATCAGACAACAACCAAAAGGGAATCTTATACATCACTTTTGATGTTGCCTTCCCACGTAGTGAACTAACAGCTGAACAGAAGAAGCTTGTAGCCGATTTGCTTCAGCAAAGCGATGTCAAACCTAAAGTTTATAACGGATTACAAGGCTATTAGGAAAGAGTCAGTTGAGATCTAATAAGTACACATTATCTTGGTTTTATCATTTGCTCGTCATTTCTCCATATGATAACAGGTTCTTTCATTTAATGATCGTTAAGTATATTTATTACTGAAGAAACTTACGTTTCTCAACCACGTTTGGACTTCTCAATTCTATCAGTCTCAAACTATGTGATATTCGGGTTCGCTTCTAATTATGCAATCGGATTATTAAGATTTTCATTATTGTTCTGTGGTCTGTGATAATTTTAACATCAGTTTCTAACGTACCGAGTATCCATTGCTGTTGCCTTGCCCTCTTTAATAAATGTTGTCTTCAAAGACTCTCTATTCTTTTGTTCAATGCGAGCCTCCTATACGCAATCACCATTCAAAACAGCATGACCCGTTTATAGTGTGGGAGGAGGAAAAGTTCAACCGTTCTTCGCGATTGTCAGCTTCAAAATGAAATCTGCCAACCACAAGACTTTATGGTTATGCTAATGAGCCATAATCAAGTTTTGGAGCTATTTATTTAGGAATTTCTATATTTCGAATGAAGACACTTTACTTCTTCCTCGTAATTGTAGAATTCCACTGATTCTCTAATTCCGTAAAGTATATGGATCGCGATTTATCGGGTTGAAGAGAAGAAACTCGTTGAGCATCTGCCTTTTCCCGTTCCTTCTGTTGTTGAAATACAATAATGAGAAGAAATAAATTTTGAAAGGCCACGTAGTAGGGGACGACCTACAATTCGTTGTTTATGAAAAAAAGGTTTGAAGAGTTAATTACATAAACAGCGGCGCAGAGTAGCCGATATATTACAGGATCGATGGAATGCATTCTCGTCCTGAGGTAGACAGTAGCTGTAAATCCAATCGATAACAGGATAAATAAACAAAATGATAAACTAACTTGATAAGTAGGTGGCTGTTAGAAAAAAATGAGCTAAGGTTAGGGGCAGACATAGCTTGATAACGGAAATGTTCTCAAATGTTTGAAACCTCTTGGCTAATGTGTAATCCCTTAAATAGTATGTTATAAGATGAAAACACCTCGAGAGCTGGGACAAACCCTGTTTTGAGCAAACATTTATTATATCTGTAATCGTATGAGTATATTAAGAGTGATAATAATTCGATTATTATAAGTAATATGAAGAGTTGATTCGCAGTGTTCGATGCTGATGGAGGTATTGCCAAGCATATGGTTAACATATCACCAGTAAATTTCAGGTCTCGCAGCCCAAAGATTGTCAACAACGTTGGTAACATGATCTTCAATTAGCCAGACAATGTGATAGTTCAGAAAAAAAATGAAAATCTCACATTAAGAACTGCCAGAGCATATCCAAATCGTTTCCCAGAATATTCATACTTATCGGCATAAACAGCTGAGATATGTCGTTCAAAGCTAATAAATCCCTTTATGGAGCAAAGAGAGAGTTGAATAAGCTTCCAGAATTAGGATACCTGTGTTAGACACATACCAGATAAACACCAAGTGTTCGGAATGAAACTCCAGATACATTTGTATACCTCGAACACCAAATCGCATTTAGAATTGTATGTCAGAACATAAAAGAACGAGTGTAACTGAAACATATTGATTTCAGTAAATTCAATTAGACATTTATAAATCTACCATAGTGCAGAAAATGATTGCTGAATAAGCGGCCGTATAAAAAATCATAAAATAAATGAGCATCTGAAAATAGATTTCAATAGTCGTAACACGAAAATGATTGGAATGATGTGGATGTGGTACCTTGAGATTAGGATGAAAGATGGACATCTTTGACATGCTACGAATGATTGGAACACTAGCTACCATACCGAACAGTGAGCTAAATAAAAAACATGTGCATAACGCCTGAAAATGAAAATATCAAAGCTCTTTTCATCTGACTGCTTACCTGATAGATAGGATTCGTCACCAGCTCATGGTCTATCTCACACAGTTCCATAAGAGTTGGAATGATCTGGGTAAGTCAAGAAAGAATAAAGATCAGAAAAAAAATCTAAAATAGGAAGTTAACAACAGGGAGTAAAAAGCAAAAATGACAATGAAAAGCAAGAAAATTGAGATAATAAAAGTTTTTTTCTACTCTCCACCCCCTTTTTACCGAAAGAGAGAGATGGAGGGACAGTGGAAGTGAGTTTGTTGAATGTTGTTAAGATCGTTCATTTGCTTTCTCTCCTTTGTCATCTCTGATTCTCCCACTGAGCATAATCCTATTGCATGTCTAGATACAGTACAGCAATAAGATAAATCAGTTAAAAATAGATAAGGTAAATTTGAAATTAAACATAAAATGATTTAAAATTCGAAATTTCAGGCTGAAATGCACTTATGAACGGTACACACACACATACCTGTGATTGAGAATTCAAGGGCGGATTTTGTAAGATATACAACCAGTCTGCACGAGCGATATGATGTAAATGCGGTGCTGACTGATTCGTATGAGCGAGTCTACGTTGAAAACGTGGAAATAAACTAATTAACATAAATTACTGTTTTCATGTACTTATAAAATAGATTGGTTAAAGTATTGGTTGCTCAATGATTTCTAATATTTTCATAAAATCAGTTTAAGGGAAGGTAGTTCATAACACGTCTCGTGTCTTATTATTTATTTCAATAGTGATACGACATGTCATGAAAATATCAATAAATATTTAAATATAATGTAAGAATGTGCGAATTTGTGCTATAATTGAGGAAGTATATTCTTTTGGCAGGGCTCAATAAAGAAGAGATCAGAGGAGTGATGCAGACGTATGTTGTCTAGGCCACAGATGCCTTCGCTTGTTCCATAATTTTCACAGATAAACACAATCTGTAGTAGATAAGTAAGATATTCTGAGTCTACCTAGCTGATCATGTTTTGCCGAACATTTTACATTCGTTTTCAAATCATCTTAAAAGTACTTATAATTAATATGTTCTCACCTTTTGTGTACGCACAGGACATTCAAATTTGCCAACATGCCATAGAACAGCTCCTGCCTCACTAGGTGTTGTATATGGACACTCCAAACTATCATTCACGAAACAGCAGCCAATTAGACGAGTTCCTAACTTCCATTCCAACACATCAAAAATTACCTTCCCAATAATACAAATTACCAGAAATTTTGTAAATTATATACCGTGTGAGTGTCGGAGAAGAGTGTATCTGTCTCAAGCACCGAAACTTCCCCTGAGGGCACTGTTGCTTGTATGAACTTGGATAAGCCTACTTAAATCAAATCGATGATTCGTTGACAGTCATAAAACCTTTATCACCTGATTTCAAATGGAAACGGGATGCTTGAGGTACTTCGACAGGTGCTGTCCAAGAACAAAATCCGTTTTCGAAGAGACATCCTCCACGGGTTTCACATGATTGGGGAATTCCCATAGGAAGAGGTCTGAACGGAAAACAATTTAAATATATCTGTTTACTGCTTGTACCTATGAAACTCGGCTAATATGGGTGCTGGCTTTACAACTAATGGTTTCCTCGGAATTATAAGTGTAGACTTCGCAATAGGCGATGGTTGGGTGGTAACAGCTTGTTTGACAGGTGGTAAATGCGAATTTCCCTATCAATATCGTCATTTGTAACAGTTTTCATTTTCAACTTCTCACAACATTCACAGTTTCTTGTTTGATCGGCAACACTGGTGTAGGCTTCTCCTCGTCCTAAAAATCAAAAACCATTTCGAGTTTTTCTTCAATTTTTTTCATTTCGGTTGACGGAAGTTTTCATGCGTTTTTTTTTCGAAAATTCGTCGTTTGCTTGAAAAGCGTTAACGAGGCGAACGACAAAACAAAATTCTTTTATAGACTGTCCTGTTGACCGGAAGCTAACTGAGCTTTGCTTTTTGTTTCAGATGAGGTGAGCACTGTGCACATGATGTGCAAATTAATTTCAAAAACTATTTCAAGAAGACTGACCACGAAATCCTGCTCCCCCGCATCATCAACTTGTTCTTCATCCTCATTTGCATCATCCGTCACGTAGTTTGGATCCAAGAAGTTTGCCAGATCTTCTCCTAATAAGTCATTGAGCGCTGGAAACGATTTGACCATTATGTTCTTGTTATGAAGAGTTCCTACGATTGAAATCCTTTGGCTGTTTTGTTGCAACTTCTGGTTTCTTCGATAATTCTTGACTAAATTTTAATGTTTTTAAGTATTTGAGATCTGGAATTCAAAACCTCAATGACGATTTCACTGGAGGTGGAGAAAGTGGTGGAAGAGATGGGATTGTCTGAAAACGATTTGAATTGAAGTCTCTTCAAACCACAAAATGTGGAAACCTGTTTAGTTGATGGAACTCCTTTGGGGCGAGAGAGCAACTTCTCTTTCACTCTATCGTCCAGCTGTGCTAATTGTTCCAGAGAAACCTAAAGCCAATATATAAATTAACAGCTATGTTTGTACAGTTCTGTGAGGACACATGGCTCAACTCTTCAAAATAACTAATAGTCTACTATTAAACGCAATCTCGTTGCCTCTATAGCTCAGTGGTAGAGCGTTGGTCTTGTAAACCAAAGGTCGGTGGTTCGATCCCGCCTGGAGGCAGTTGCTCTTTTGTTTTAGACTTATTAAATGAACTTTGATTTGAGATGTAGTTTTCACCTTTTTGCCTGCTTTGGAGTTGGTTCTTTGGTTTTCAACCAGAATTGGTTTAGCAGGTTCAACAGGGATCAGTTTCTGTTTGTGATGTCTGAAAGAAGGGGGAAGTCAAAGATGAATGTATGGCAATATGGCGCTCACACTGAAGAAGATCGTTTGTGGCATTGATCATAATTGACTCTAATTCTGTCAATCATGATGACCGACTCAATACGTTCATCTGTGTTCTCAGAAATAAAGTGTAACTGAAAACCAGGAAATCAGGTGGCTAATGAGATTGGAAAGCATAAAACTGAACAAACGGAACACAAACCATGATATCAGTTCCATTGGGGACCTTGAAATCTTGGGATATAGTTTGACTCTGTTTAGAAGCGAAGGCAGGATGACAATCATTGAGATTAGTTGTTTCATTGGCCTGCGACCAACACAAGCTCAAACGTGAAGTTGGACTTTGCCAGTTTCTGGAAAAGCATAAGTGACGAGGAGTGAAGACGGAAGATGGAAAGTTATGGAAAAAACTTAAATAAACATTCATCTTTCATTATCGTTTATAAAATTTTATAATCATTTTAACATTTCGTTTTCTGAAATAGGCCAATGTGTGTCAGTTTCTATTCTCCATCCTGATTAAATCAATGAAAAGCGTGTTTCTCATGCAACCACAGGTGAAACATTGGCTTGAAAGGCATGTATGCTCTTCATTAGTCAAGATCGAGAGAAAAGTAAACGATAACGGAAAGCGAAAACGAGAAGAAAACGAAAGGAGCCTACCTGTAATCGACAGAAATGACACCGACTGAAGAACAGAATGGACATGAGCTGAAGACTCCCTGATCTCTTGTACTTACTCGTCGAATGTAGTTTCCTTCTGCAAAAAGTTCAGTTAGCAGAGAAACGTTGTAAGCCTGTCCTCCATTATTGAAATTCTAATCTAGAGAACGAGTTTCGAATGTTTTCAACACTTTTTTATACTTGATTAATTCTTTTTTGTCAAAAAAACGAATGAAGGGAGGATAAACTAGAACCTGGAGGTGGTTTGCTCCTTCCGACCAAGAACGTTCTTCGGAATTCATTGATATTGATGGTTTCTCCGTTCTGGATTTGCCATCCTGAATCACCGGCCCAACAACATTTCGAATGGAAGTCACAGTTCAAATTCTTACTTCGCACAACTGTAAAAGGAAATAGATCATTAGCATACGAAAATGAGCGAGCATGCTTACTGCTTATGAATGCAAATACCAAAATTAGCTTTAGAAACTGAAAGTCCAGCATGTCGATGACGGCCACACCAGGAAATTCGGTAAAGACGCGTCAATCCAAAGAAAGACAAACCATCGTTGGGATATATTATAAGCTCCTCCCATTCCTTATAAATCCTATCCGTTCTTTTCTCTTCTTTTGCAACCATTTTGAACATTCAGAATCTTCTTTTATTCTTCATCATCATCATCTTCTTCTTCTTCTTCTTCTTCTTGTGGTTGAAGTCGTCAGAGGCTGTCATCAGCCAGTCCGTGAGCGTCCATTCAATTTGACGAGAGACACGAAAGCAAAAAAATCGTTCCGTCGTCACACCTTATAAAGTTTACTTGTTATAAAAGAGATTGAACACCGAAATTAAGATAATTTATGCTATTTATGGGCATTAAAAGGATAAAAATTACAAAAATAGCACACGATGGCCTACATTTGTTTCTCCAAATTGCATTTTTCTGTTCTGCCCTTGTCTCTCAAGAGACATACCATGCATGCAACTTGTGCTCCGCACAACTTCTAAATAAGAACCCGCAATTTTCTTTTTTTTCTGCTTTTTTTCAGCTCAAAAAAGCAGATCGAAAGATATCTCATAGAATTGAACAAGTTTTACTACGATGCATCGCCCTCACAGTATTCTTTGTGAACTTTCGATTCGCCTGTGGCGGATTAAACTCTTCGACAGCCGCAGTGGTTGAAGTCGTCTTCTGCTGAAACCAAAATACTTCTTTAGTTGAATGAGAAAAGAAAATGAATAAACCTTATTTTTTTCTTCGGATTGCAGCTGATATTGAATTATTCGAAATGTTCCTGTTATGGCATTACGGGGTCCAATATCTTCTTCGAACATGTTTTCATCGATCCCATAGCTGTTCATTATGCGCCAGACCTTTAATTTTTCGTAAATCACAAAATCCCGCCAAAATAAGTCGAACCTTATCCATCATCTTTTTCTTCTCAGCATCATTTTTTTCATTCACTAGAGTGATTTCCATATATGATTTTTCGAAACGACAATCTTGTAGCCAAAAGTTTTTCTGGAATTTCAAAAATGTGGGTGAGGAGGATGAGTCATATGCACCTTGATCTCATCGATACCCGGTCGGTTGGAGGCCTCCATATTGAGCATACTACGAATTAAGTTTTGAGCACTTTGAGATATATAATCAGGTATTGTGTATATGCCAGCCATGATTGTCTATAAAAGGGAGAATAGGAAGTTCCTTGTTGTCGAGAACGCATACAGATTTCAAATCCTGGACTGTCTCTCCCCGGAATGGAGTCACTCCAACCAGCATGAAGTACAATAGAACAGCCAAAGCCCATACATCGACAGCAGTTCCTGCATAGCTTTTATCTCTAAATATAGATGGCGGATAGATGGACGTGAGGCAAAGTCAATAGAAAATTAATTTCCTAATCAGACTTCATACCTAAACAACTCTGGAGCAGCATAGGGAGGACTTCCACAAAACGTTGATAGTGGCTCTAATGCTGATGGCAGTAAACAAGAAAAGCCAAAATCTACAAGCTGAAAGAATGCAAAGCTAAAAATTCCAAGATTTCAGCCGCTTGTTACCTTCACAACTCCCGGAGCTGCAAACATGACATTTTCCGCTTTTATATCACGATGAACCAAATTTCGACTATGCTGGAAGACGATTTCTGTTTTTACTAATAAGTTGTGTGTAATACCATATGAGAGACGGCTGATACAATTTGAGCGTAAAGAGGCTTTGCTTCCGTTTCGGAAAGCTTTCCCCGTTCATGAACAAAAACATAAAGCTCTCCACCTCCAGCATATTCCAGGATCAAATGAACTCGCGTCAATGTGTCCACACACTTCAAATAACACAGAAGTTTCTTGAGAGAGAGGCAATGAATAGAATATACCTCGAATAATCGGATTATGTTCGGATGGTTCATTTGTTCCATTGATTGAATCTCCCGAGCTAAAAGACGTTGAGCTTTCTGATCCATCTTACCCTTCTCCATTATCTTCACGGCGACTTTCTCTTCAATCATGAAAGGATTAGAGTATTGCATGAATGAGGGGAAACCTTTCGTCAGCACGTGAACTCCAAGCTTGACTTTGGAGAAGTTACCAGAGCCTAACTCCTTCCCAAGGCGATAGAAGCCGATTCGTTTACCTAATGCTACCTGATAAGGCGATGATAAACAAGAAGTTATGGAGGATTCAACAAACTTCTTTCTGATACATGACATCATTTGCTAACATATGTAACGTTCGATCGTATAAGCTCATATCACTTATATTCGAAGCTGTGCTCACAGGAAGAGAAACAGCTGATTTCGTGCGAGACAGAGCATCTTCTCGATTCTGATAGATTCATATGAATGCTCCAAAGTGAGGAAGGGACAGAGGGAGAGAGGAAGTAAAAAGAAAATACCTGTTTAGTTGATGTCGGTTCACTATCGTGACGGGAGACTGTGAAATGGGCAGGCTCCTCAATGTCACCGACCGATGCATCGGATTCTCCGCTATCTTCCTAAAATGGTTATTATTTGAATAATTTTTTAGTTTATTTATTTTTTTGAATATATTTTGAATAGAAAATGACCTTGAGAATAAGTGGATGGATTCTGCGATACATGCATTGGTTCGAAAAGAAATACGTATGAGAACTATATTTCTCATCACAAAATTCATTTTACTTTCATTTCCGGACTCATAGCTCCAATATTATAGAGAGGGAAAGAGTGGGAGAGAGAGAGAGTAAGTTGAATTGAGAGAGAATGAGAGGTTACCAGAGAGTAAGAGAGGAAAGACCAAAATGAGTGATATGATAGAAAATTAAAACAAGACAAAACATGTGGAAAATCATAAGCTATCAAGTGGATGACGTAACATCCAAAAAAAGGATCCCGAGACGATAACTTTTGAACGATAATGATGATGTGCATTGAGGGGATGGTTAGGTAAATGATAGTAGCTGTGCTAATTACCTGTATGGATGCGTATGTAGGGGGCTCACTTCGAATTACACGATGAACTGGTCCTTTTTGAGATGCTTTCATCTTAAATTTTTATATTTTGAAAATCATAGAGAGAGATATAGAGAGAGATAGAGAGAGAGAGAGAGGTTGATAAAGAGAGACAAAAATGAAAAAGCGAAACAACTTGAGGGAGGCAAAGTGAATGAATGAAAATCCAAAAGATTATCTTCAACACCAACAAAGATTATCGACTTTTATCTTTATTGACATTCAATTGGGTATTAATTTTGTAAAAATTTTTATATGAAAAATTAGTAAATTGGAACTTTGCATATCAGTTTGTGGAAGTGGAGGAGGAGGAGGAAGGATGAGAAGGAGAGAGTGTATATGAAGGATGATGTTTGATAAACCTTTTCGCCTCTCGTTCTTGCCTCATCCAGTCATCTCCTCAATGTGTGTGAAGATGAAGACAGAAGCAGTAGTAGCAGCCAGATGATGGGCCGACAAGGATTAAAAGGTTTGAAACAAAACACTTCAAACATTTTGTTGATTTTTAATCCAAAAAAGGTGACAGACATCACATATACATAAAAAGAGAGAAAAAAAAACAAACACAGCCATAGTTGAGGCTGTGAGAATGATGAAGCAAAGGGAAGACACATCGAAATGCCTATCATTTCATATAATTGTTACCATGAGGCTGTGTGAGGCACAAGCAGCTGGAAATGTCAAAGAAAGGAATGAGAGAGAAGACATATACAAACGACAACATTATCCGGAAAATTATCAAAATAATTTCAGAATCTATAAGTTCCTTATCTATCTCTTAGTTAAAAATAAAAAAACACAGAAAAAGAAAAACAATCAATCAAAGTGAAAACATATTTAATCCAAATAGCCAAGACATATATGAAAGGGAGAAAGAAAACATCATTTTCAAGCAGTCGCCCATAGATAAGGAGATAATTTGCAAAATCACCATGGAGAAGCCGCAAGCTGTCTGCTCATCTATCTCTCACTTCCCTACGATTGATGTTTATGAAGAAAAAAAAGAAAGAAAAGCGAAGGAAGAAAGCCCCCCGTGTATGTGTATGTATGTGTATGTGTGTGTGTGTGTGTGCTTCTTCATCGTCGTAGAGCTCTTTTAATACTTCACTCAAGAAAATAATTAACAACAAAATAAAAATAGAGTAGAGAGCAGACCTGTATAACCTTCTCTGCTTACGCCAATTTTCAAAGGAAATGAAGCGCTTGTAATTTCCTTCCGAACAGAAGCTTACAGAATACCTTTTTTGGGCCACTTCAATAACATTTCAATTAAACTTCGCTTTTTTGAAAAGAAGTTTTATTATTATTATTGTTATCATCATTCTACTCTACTCTCCATACTTTGACTTTGAATAATCACTGATTGTAAGGTGAAATTCTGAAATTTTGAATAAAAATGGGAAAAAAATGACTACCAGCAACTTACCCAACCGCTCAACACGTCTTTATGATCGGAAATAAAAAAATATTCAAATCTGGACACACACGTGTAACCTCACGTATGCTTACGCGCACCTGACACTGTTTTTGAATGGAGATTAGCATAATTGATTATTGATTCGTGAATGTAGATTGATCTGAGCGATCGAGAGGTAACAGACAGTTTTTAAATCAAAAAGTTTATTAGTTTATATAAAACTCTAGCTTATGTGTTAAAAAATTCGTTTTCTCATAAAAGCATGAAACCGGACCAGGAAACGTATTCGTAATGAGCAGTTATTATTAATCAGAAACGGATATGGAGAGCACGAGGACATCTCTGGTTAAATAAATTAGGCAGTGTGAGGCACAGACACTTTAGGCTCGTATCCATATAAGAATGTGGACCCGATGACAACACCGGCTCCGATGATGAACGTGCTGCAAAATGATGTCTGATGAGGAATTAGAAAGAGTACAACTTACAATGAAGGTTGAAGATCTCCCAAGAAGAACCATGAAAGGAAAGTGGAGATGATGATAGAAAGAGAAACAGCAAATCCTTTCAAAATGTTGTCAGCATACTTAACCACCAATGCGATGACGAGTCCTCCATAAGCCTGGAAAAAACAAAATGAAATTGTCAAAGGTCTCACTATGAGTTACTTGAAGCATAACAACAATCCAAATTATGTTATTATATCCTTGGAAGAATCCATTCTTATCAATAGCTTCGTAATCATAGGTGTAGCACATGAAGAATCCACCGAAGATGGAGAAGAAAGCTTCAATAATCAAAGTTATTCGATCAAAAAACAAAAAATCAAAACCCACCAAGTTGGAGATTTCTCATCCATAACGACACGTTGGAATTCTTTAAAATTTTCTCGAAATAAACTCCAGCGAATCCAGAAAGGAAACAAGCAGCAAGTACACAAAGAAGACCTACATAATGGTTTTGATATTAAACAAAACGTCAAGAAGGGAACAAACCGATCAAATTATCTCCCGATTCGGCTGACTTGGCGCTTCCGGAATCAGGTCTCATCTAAAAGCAAACAGAGAAGGATCAATAGAGAAAGCGATTAGTCTATACCTGTACGAGAGCTACTCCACCGGTCAGCAGAATTAAAGCAAACCATTTTAAACCACTAAGAGATCGTTGCAACATCATGACGGAGAAGAAAGCCGTTGTTAATATTTTCAGTTGATATGTGACCTGAACCAAGATGGGAGTTGACAATGGCATAGCTTAAAGGACTACCTGATATGTAGCGGCATCTAATTTCGACAAAGCTAAGAACAATAAGTTATTCTGGATCACATAGAGGACAGCAGGAACAGCTACCTACAATTAGAAAAGATGAAGCTGAGTTAGGGAAGTGAAAAAAACCTTGAGGGTATCGGCAGGTTTTGAGAAAATATCTCGTGAGAGCTCTCCCCGGAAGCCGGACCATCTCCATCCTGAATTAGACGCAATACATGTGAATGAAAGGAGATAGCTATGACTAACCATGATTGTACCACAGAACCACGATGCAAGTCAGAAATTTAACAATTTCAGCACATAAAACTGCTGTGGAAGAAAGATATCGAGGACCTTCAGTAACCTGCAAACGGTAAATGAAACGGCCTTATGAGTATGGAACACACCTGAGTCCTTGAGTACCTTAAAATCAATACTAAAGCGGTTGTTTGAAGAATTAATACAACAAGGGAAATCAACTTCAGATTGTTGTTGGTCTGTTGTTGAGTTCCCATTCTGTCGGTGTTAACCTGAAAAGTGTTTGATTGAATTCATCTGCATGGAATGAAGGTAGGCACACTGAACCACTGGATAGTGGAATAAGGAAGAAATGGAGGAAAATAAAACTATAAAGCTGATACGAACAAAGCTGCCGGCTGATTTCATATACACAATTCACACACACATACACACATAGGCAAGAAAGCCACGTGTGACATCCACGAACCTCGAGCAAACTCAAAGCAAACAATAAAATTGCAATGAGCGTTGACTAAAACAACAAGTTGAGCGAATCATCATACCGCCCGAATAAGGTCATTTCATCAATACCAATCCAATTTTTCTTATTCATTCAGTCTTTTTTATGATTACAATGAGAATTCCTAACCACAGGCAAATCAGACGAACATAAAAAACTTTTTTTTGTATGCAAACGCACGCAGTTTTCTCTTTCACTTTTCATCAGATAAAAATCACGTAGAGTGCCGAACGGAAGTATCGCTCTTGCTAGAACGACAACGACACAAAACAAGATAAAAAAATATTATAAAAGGACATCCGACTCTAGCATTAGCGAATCAAAACATCTGCTGTTCCCATCGGCTTTAAGCTACAACCTATAAGGAGCACAACCGTTCAACGTCCATCATTTGTAGTTTAATGTTCTCCCTTCAGTTCGTCATCGCGCATGTACGTGAAATACGTGAAAATTTGCTCGTCAGTAGAAAAATCTGCTGAACTTCCAACTTTTCTCTCCGGTAAATCGGTTAGTAAAAAACATTGCACATGGACCGGTGGTATGGCTTTGTTATGACTGTTGTGATGAAAGATAAAACTCAAACACCCGCAATTCTCATAAAAATCTGGTTTGATCGTAGCGAAGCAGTTGATGAAGCTTCCATAGCTGTCGCTGTATACAGCTAGTCATAGGTTGAGGAGAAAGAAGAAAGTACGAAAATCATGAAACTAACTTGAAGTTCATCTCTCGTAGATGGAAGTAAAGACAGAGAATTAGAAGTTTCATTCGATTTCATTAGATGTGAGAACTAATTTCAGTGTTGGAAATGTACAGTTTGCAAACAGTCTCCTCCTATTTCTCGTTCTCTTAATGGCATCTTTCATACAGTCTATCATCCTCTTATTAGTTGTTAATCATTTTCATTTTTCGTTCATATCAATCAAATATTGACGAAAAAAGGTGAAATTGAAGAAGCAATTTGGAACTTTGACTGATTGGCTGTGAAAATAATTGGATCGTCCAGTAATTTGTTTGTTTTTTTCTGAATGCGGTCTAGAAACAAGCCAAAACCCCTCTACCATCCCCTTACTATACCCCCCCCCCCCCCCCCCCCCCCCCCCCCCCCCCCCACCCACCCCCCCCCAC